ATTGGCAGGGGCCATCTCAGCCAACCCCTTCAGAGGATGTCTGGGGAGTGTGGAGGGGCCAAATCCCAACTCGGGAGGAGAATTGGGCAGAGCTGGGTACTCCCTGCTGCTCAGTAAATAGCCACCTTCTGAAGTTCATTCCACATTGACCTACACCTGGACTGCCCTACAGCCTGTTTTCCTAACTCTTAGTCATCCCCTCAAATAGTCCTTACGCAGGGAAGCCTGTCTCTGACCCCCCAGGCTGGACTTGGACCCTCTCTTCTGTGTCTCCATGGCACACACTACAGCCCCTTTTGTAAAACTTGTAAATGTGTAGCCACTTATTTCATGTACTAGTAAGTCTTTCCTCCATAGGTCATAAGCTACTTAAGAACAAGGGCACATCTGGCACCTAGTTTGTGTTTAATAAATGTTTGTTTTCACTGAGCCGAGATAAGTGAGATATGCCAGGTATTCAAATCGTTACCAACAGTTCCCGCTGTGTGCTGGCTGACTCCAGCTAGACCCAGAAATCCACAGCTCCAAGTGGCACATAATGCCACATATATCATGATGAATGAACAAATGTGTGAATGGAACTCTGGATATAATTATAAAGCTCTGATCCATCCCAACACCCCGTGTCTTCTCAGTGACTGAAAATTGCTGATTGCCAATGCAGCCCTATGAAGAAGAGGGCAGGTACAGGGTGGGGCAAAAGGAGGTTTACAGTTGTGAGTACACAAAACAGTTTATTCTTATTAATTATTATTTTTAATTTATTATATTTTTAAAGTTCTCTCTCTAGAATATGCTTAGAGAGAGGAAAGGGGGGGAGGGAGAGACAGTGATTAGTTGCCTTTCATATTTGCCCTGACCCCAACAGGGATCCAACCCAAAACCCAGGCATGCACCCTTACCAGATTAGAACCAGAAACCTTTCAGTGTCCGGAAGGACACTCCAACCAACTAAGCCACTCTGGGCAGGCTGTATTATTTTCCTTCCAAAAACTTTAAATTACTTTTGCCTGACCCTGTATTTCCTTATTTATTTTAATATGTTTTTATTGGTTTTTGAGAGAAGAGAGAAAAGGAGAGGGAGGGAGAGAGAGAGAGAAACATCAATTGTAAAAAAAAACATTGATCAGTTACCTCCCACACACTCTGACCAGAGACTGACCCAGACCTGGGCATGTGCCCTGACTGGGAATCCAACTGGCAACCTTTTGGTGCATAGGAGGATGCTCAACAAACTGAGCCACACTGGCCAGGGTGCGACCCTGTATTTAGAGCTTACTGCATTCTGACCACTACGCCTACAATAGTGAAGAAAAGGGGTCCCTGCCTTCCTGGCAAATTACAATCTACATGAAGATGCACACTTAATCAAATCACTATAAATCAAAACAAAATTGCAACTGAAAAGGGCTGTCCCTGAAAGGTGGGGAGATCTCCCTCAAAAGTAATAACAGCGGAGCCTGAAATGCAAAGGGAGGGGAAGGAGTATCTGGAGAGAACTTTGAGTGCAAGTCTATTAGCAGGGACGATGGCTGTGGGATGAAGCTGGGGAGGTGGGTGGGAACCTACTCGTGCAGGCCCTCTGGCCATGAAAAGAATGTTGTGTTCATCCTGAAAGCAATGGGGAAAAAATAACTGGACTGTGTGTCAGGGTGGGGTGGGGAGTGTGACAATCCAATCTGAAACTTGACATGACCACTCTGGCTGCTTTGCTGAGTACAGATTGGGTACTTTGAGGCTACTGCAGGGGTCCAGGCCAGAGATTCTGGTAGCTTGGACTTGACCAGTGGGCAGTGGACATACAGAGGAGAAAGACGCAAGAAAAATTTTAGGAGGTAAAGTCAAAAGAACTTATGAATACTAAGTAATGTTACCACCCCTTTGGAGACCAGGCCAAGAGAGGCAGCAGTCACCAAACTAAAACTTTTCACAAAACAACTGGGTATTTTTTAAAATACTAGAGGCCCAGTGCATGAATTCATGCACAGGTGGGGTGGGGCCGGGCCAGCAGGGGAGAGGGGCCTCGGGCAATTGGCTGGCTGGCCCTGCCCTCAATTAGAGTTGGGGGAGCCAATCAGGGGTTGGGCAGGTGGGGGGAAGGGGCCTCGGGAGGTTGGAGGGAGGGGGGCAATCAGGGCCCCAATCCGCAGTGTGCATCATAGCGATCAGTCATTCCAGTCATTCCAGTAGTTCCATTGTTCCGGTTGCTTGTCTTTTATATATATATAGATAGATTCCTGGACTGTATTCCTGAGTTTATTCGGTAAATCTGGATGGAGTCTGACCATGACATCTACATTTAAAAACATTCCCTAAGATCTAGTTGGTTTAGCTCAGTGTATAGAATGTCAGCCTGTGGACTGAAGGGTCCCAGGTTCAATTCTGGTCAAGGGCACATACCTGGGTTGCAGGCTCGATCCCCAATAGGGGGCATGCAGGAGGCAGCCAATCAGTGATTCTCTCTCATCATTGATGTTTCTATCTCTCCCTCTCCCTTTCTCTCTGAAATCAATAAAAATATTTTTTTTTTAAAAAAATTTCCTAAGAGATTCTTCTGCCCCCATCTACAAGCACTAGTCTAAGGGACCCTGTCTCTGACACCTGACCCAGAAGGCCATGATGTGGAGAAGTAGGGCCTATGGCTCTGAAAATTCATCTCCTTATTCCAGAACCACTTTGGGAGGCTGCACAATATGCTGATCTGATTTTCCCAACAACATGCCAACACATTCCTCAGGAGCAGGTGCAAGAAAGGCCTGAAGAAGGTCAACCAGAGTGCCCTGTTTACACTACCAGGCCTACACACATGGGTGCATGCTGAGATGTGCACACACACACACACATACACTCCATCTGAATGGGCCATTCCTAACATTCCTAGGACTAAGAAATCTCTATGAACATGCCACTCAATCAGTACCTTTCTTCTTATATTCTAAGGATTTATGGTTACAGTTCATGCTATAAACTTGGGTTTCTCTCACATCAGTGTTTCTCTCTCTTTCTCTCCTTCTCTCTAAAATTAATAAAATAAAAATAAATAAATAACAGATTACATATATCCACCACAATCATTACAAATGTCCACTGAGGATATGACAGTGGACTAGAGAATAATAAAGGTTATTCTTAGAAAGATTCCTAGAGAAGATGGAAGGAAAGAGGATCCATGAGGTGGGGGACCAGGAAGGACTTTGTGTCAGCTGGTAGAAGAGTTGTGGTCAGGATCCATGAGGAAATGTAGCCAAATGTGTTGGGACTTTGAATAGGACACAGCCTGCAAGGCTCTGTAATTCTTAGAATATTCACTGTGGATGGGACTTAGAGATCATCAAGTCCAGCCCTGACACACTTCCAATGAGGGTACCAGAGGTCAGTGGCTGGTGACACAGAGACATAGCTGTGGCCACAGAATTCAAGTTAGAACCAAGGCTAGAGTTCAAGTCCCTGTCTCCAAGCTAAGTCTTCTTTCCATTAGAAACCATTCAGGATCCCTTAGCTAGCTCATCTCCTTAAAGCAAGTCCTATCTTTCTACGGCAGGGAATTGATACACGACATACATGGCAGTGAAGAGGAAGAGGGATTAGCCCCTCCTTATTGGTCTTTGTAAGAGGACAAGTTGCTCCTCAGCATTGTCATCATCCACTTTTCTAAAACTGCTTGAACCCTGACCCACACGTCCTTTAGGACCCCCAGCACCGTGTCATTCCTCGGAGTATATACAAAGGAGTTGAGGAATGGGGTCACAACACTGCTCAGTACTGAAGGGACCTTGTTGACCTCCAGATACTCTTTCTGGGAGGGTGTCACGTAGATAAACACTGTGATGCTGCTAGAAATCATGACTATTGTCAGGTGGGAAGCACAGGTGTTAAAGGCCTTCTTCCTTCCCCTTGAGGAAGGAATGCGCACTATCATCAAGATGATGTACGTATAGGAATAGGCCACAAGGACTATGCAACAGAGGATGATGGTGGACGAAAGCATGAAATCCATCAGCTCAATGGCAGTGGTATCTGCACAGACCAAGGCCAGCAAAGGCCCACTTGTCACAGAAGAAGTGGTTAATAATGTTGGAGCCACAGAAGGGCAGCTGAGAGATGAAGATGATTGGGAAGAGCACAGATAGGAAACCTCCTACCCAAGAAAACACAACAGTCCCAATGCAACAGTCCTCATGATGGTGCTGTACTGCAGCAGGGAACAGACAGCAGCATAGCGATCATAGGACATGACTGTCAGCAGAAGAAACTCTACCGTGCCCAGGAAGAAGTAGAAATAGCACTGGGTGATACACCCAGCAAAGGAAATGGTTTTATCCCCGGATGCTAGGTTGACCAACACTTTTGGAGAAATGACTGAGGTGAAGAGGATGTCCAGGATAGAGAGGTTGCACAGGAAGAAGTACATGGGGGTGTGGAGACGGGAGTAGGACAGCACAATGGAAATGATGAGCAGGTTCCCCAGGAGGGTCAGAAGGACTGTGGACAGCAGCAGCGTCAGGAACAGCAGCTCCACCTGCCTGCTGAGGGCAAATCCCAGCAAAATAAACTCCCCCACGGTGGCAGTCTGATTGGCCATGGGCATGGGGGGCAGGACTCAATTCCTCTGATGGAACAAAAGGAGAAGGTGCTTAGGAGAGTGTTCAGTGTACAAAACCCATGGCTCTTCACTAAAAAAATGTGAATATAAAATGTGATAATCCAATCTAAATTTAGATATGTAATCTAAATTTAACTTGTTTCAAATTATTTGTCTATCAAATTAAAACTTTTTAAAATGATCATTTTGTTAACAAGGTGCCTGCCTTAAGTCCTACCCTGTTACATAGTTTATATGAACTTTCTAAAAATAATATAGCAATTTATATCAAAATTCTTAAAACTGAGTAAATTCTTAGACTCAGAAATCCACCCAAAATAAAGTCATGGAAGTTTTCAACGATTTTGCTGCAACAGCATTCATCACGGAATTGCTTATAATAATGAAAGTTTAGCAACAGCTTTAATATCCAAAAATGGGAGATGGAATAAATAAATTATGACACATATAAATAATAACATTATGCAGCCATTAAAAATTATATTTTACCATAATATGTCAATGGCAACTTCTATGTAATAACAAAATAGCCACAATGTATTATTGAGTTTTTTAAAGCAAGGTATAAACTAATAGTAACATTATGATCTCACTCTGGGAGTTAAATGTAAATCAGCAAAAGTCCTACAATAATCAAGACATTGCTGAAGAAGAAACTGGGGCGGGGGACAGGGGGTGGCTTGCCTAGTACATACAAGACATAAAAATAGCTAATTAAATCAAGATGGTATTGACACAAATACACACAAACTGACCAGCAGGACAAAATAGAGAGCCAAGGAACAGACCCACACAAATATGAAACAGTGATATATCTCAGAGATGAAAGGAAGCTGGTGCTGCTGATTATCTGTATGGGAAAACATAGCATTGGATTCCCCACCTTATATCAGACACTAACATCCATTCTAGATGGACAAAAACATTAAATGAAAACTTTCAGGAGAAAACATAGGAGAATATATTATTTGGGGCCTTATGGTAGAAAAATACTGATTAAAGATCTGAGAAATGATAAACAAAAAAAAAATATTGACAAATTAAACTACATTAAAACTAAGAATTATTGTTTATTAAAAGATCCCCAAAATAAAATTAAAGGCAAATTACAAATGTGACATAGATAATGGACAAATGTTTATTATCTGTAATATATAATCAATATATTGATTCTTTCAAAGCCATAATAGAAAAGCAACCCAATAAAAAAATGGGCTAAATATTTTATCTGAATTCTACTAAGGAGGAAAGAAATATAGCCAATAAAATATACAAAAAAGACATAAGACACTGGGGGGTAGGAGAGGCTAGGGGATTATCAAGAGGGGGGAATAGGAGACATATGTAATATTCTTTGTAATACTTTAAGCAATAAAAAATGTTTTAAAAAATATATACAAAAAGAAGTTTGATATCATCAGAAATTAGGGACATGCAAATTAAGACAATAACAAGATAACTTTATATCCATTTTACTGCAAGACAGTCGAATCCTGACAAGGGGCGATATAACTAGTTCATCAAGAAAACTCTGGACTTGGAGTTGGGAGACCTGGTTTCAAGTCCCACCTCTTAACACCCTTAAGACTGGACAAATGACCTTATCTTTCTGGACATTTGCACATAAATCTTTTTTTATATATATTTTTTATTGATTTCAGAGAGGAAGGGAGAGAGAGATAGAAACATCAATGAGGAGAATCATTCATCAGCTGCCTTCTGCACACCCCCTACTAGGGATCAAGCCAGCGACCCTGCCACGGGAATCAAACCGTGACCTCCTGGTTCATAGGTCAACATTCAACCACTGAGCCATGCTGGCCAGGCTACACATGAATCTTCACAGGACAAGCAGAGATAATGCTCTTTTTCCCCATCTTTCTCACAGCTGGGATGATGAGAAGCTCAAAATGGAAAATAAGATAATTCATATGAAGTGCCTTAGGAAATCATAAACCGTCATATTGAGTGTTGCCGTTATTTCTAGAAACTCTGCTGTTCTGCAATTTTGACAAAGAGCAAATCCTGTTTTTCTTGTCCCTACTGAGATATTGGCCAGCTACCCTGGAGCACTATCAGTTCTGCCCTGGGATACATCTTGTCAGGTCACAATTTTGCCTAAATTGTTTTCTCCTTGAGCAGCATATCTAATTGGCTACAAAGAGGGAAGACAAAGGGAAGCTGCTTCTCTACATGAGAATTTTGCTTAACCCTCCTTGCCTAGGATTTCAGAATGAAGAAACTACCCTCTGTCCCCCACATTCCACACAATAATACTCAGAGCCACGGTCGGTGTGGCTCAGTTGGTTGAATGTGATCTCATACATCAAGAGGTCACCAGTTCAATTCCCCGTCAGGGCACATGCCCGGTTGCAGGCTGGATCCCTAATAGAGGGCGTGCAGGAGGCAGCTGATCAATGTTTTTCTCTCATTGATGTTTCTATCTCTCTCTCCCTCTCCCTTCTTCTCTCTCTCTCTCAAATCAATAAAAACATATTTTTAAAAAGTAAGCCCAGCCGACATAGCTCAGGGATTGAACATCGACCTATGAACCAGGAGGTCATGGTTTGATTCCGTCAGGGCACATGCCTGAATTATGGGCTCGATCTCCAGTGTGGGGCATGTAAGAGGAAGCTGATCAATGGTTCTTTCTCATCTTTGATGTTTTTATCTCTCTCTTCCTCTCTGAAGTCGATATAAATGTATTTTAAAACTAGAGGCTCAATGCACAAAATTTGTGCGTGGGGGGTCCCCTCAGCCCAGCCTGCACCCTCTCAAATCCGGGACCCCTCGGGGGATGTCTGAATGCTGGTTT